ACTTGCAAGCAATATTTTCCTAGCTATCTATCCTGTCCTGGCTCTCATATCCATAATCAGCTTCTGACTGTCAATCTGAGCAGTTGCCCAGCCAGACAGCCATGCACTGTATGGTGAGTTACTGTGGCTAGGTGGATCCTTAAAATAATGGTTTGTAACTCCTGGCAGAAGGAGCGAAGGAGGACTCTACCCAGGACAGAACTCCAGTGAGCTGTCCTGAAAATATTTGTCTGTCTTTGCAGTCCTGAAAAATCTCTAGAGTTTCTGCTATCCAGCCTGGATCTCTCTGGTGGCAGTTCCAGTCTGTGATGTCCGGTGCTGTTTATCCTGCACATGGAGAACAGAAGATCTCCTTCCTCCTTTCCACTCCTGGAGACTAACTGTATGTTTTGGAGATGTCCCCACCAAGCTGTGCACTGTGTCCTCAAGAGAACAGCTGCCCAGGATATTTTGGCCACAGGTTCATCTCCATCATGCCACAATAATTCCTCTGTTGCTCTAATGTGGTGAGGACAGCAGAGGTGCTTGTCCTGCCAGAGGACCGCTGACCACAAAGGCTACTACTTGCTCATTAAGAACAGGCTCAAGCCCCAAGGAACAAAGCCAGCCTTGCCTCTCAAAGCTTCTTTCTGCTTCAGTCCATTACCAGGGTCCAATTTCACTTTGCAATTACCCAGTGCTTACTTTTAAGATGTTGGACAGGGTGATCTGGTGCTGGGGTTCACTTAGATGGGTCCAGTCCTTTTCAATCAGGCCTGGTAGGGCACCAAGAGCACAAAGCCTTTCATTCATCTGCTGCTGTGCTCCAGATGTGCATCTGAGGTTGTAAGCACTGTTGTGGGAAGGGGGTGAATGTGGGTTGAGAGGGACAGCCAGAGTCGAGAGGTGTGTAGCTGGGCTGTCAAGGCATGTACTTTGTGTATGTATATGTGTGTGTGCATGAGGAAGAGAAAATCAGAATGTGTGTTACTTGTGCTGTTTGGAGCATAAGACTATGTAAGATCTGGTTGGATGCACTGTGATAGGGAGTTATGTGCTTGTTGGGACTGTAGGATGAGACAAACATGTCTATGTGGCTGTAAGTTGTGTGTATGTGTTCGTGTGCTGTTGCTGGCAGTGTGCATGGTGGAGACGGTCTCCCAGGTGTGGGGCTCGGGCACTCTGCACTGGGGGTGCTTCAGTTCCTTTAGAAACTGATGAGCTGCAAGGAATGTTCTAGTGGCTATGTTTCAAACCAAAGGCCTTTAGCTCCTTTCTGGCAGCAATAGGTGCTGGCTCTGTGCTGGCCCAGCCAGCCTCCTTCCCTTTTATTATGTGCTTGGCACACATCTAATCCAAAAGGTCCATGCCCTCTCTTTAGACAACCTCCACTGCAAACACAGCCATGGCTGCCCTGACTGAGAGCTGACTTGATCCAGAAGCTGGCGCATGCAGAGCTTTTATTTCTCCCCAAAACCACAGCTAAAAGTATTTTTCCCCACCTCCCTTGCTTCTGTCTCTTCTCTGCCTTTCTGCCTCCCCCTCACAGCTTAGCTGTAGTTTTCCTGCTGTTCCCATTGCTCTCCCAGGTTAGTTTATAGTCATGGTGAAAAATGGCACCAGAGCTTTCTGACAGCTTCTGAGTTTACTCCCTGTGGATAGCCAAAGCTGTTCCCCATCTGGCATGCTAGCCTGGTGGGCTTAGTTCTTGTTAAATGGAAGGAGCAACCCACCACCGTGGCTCCTAGGAGAGCTTCACTCTCTCACCCTAACCTCTATCATGTCCCAGCTGAAGAACATAGTGTGCCACAAATGCACTGCCCTTGTGTAAAACACCAGGCACACAACCAGGTCTGGTCTAGCTAGCACCAGGAAGAAGCCAAAGGCTCGCTACCTCTAGCTTCTCTGCTGACATCTAGCTTTTCTGCTGACATTTATATAACTTCCAAAGCGGGGTGCACCTGTGCAGCACTGGCTGGGGGAGGGATGTTTATCACTGAGACAGGGCTGACCATGAAGGGCCAGGAAGCCATTCAGGTGTTGGTCAAGGGAAGAGGCAGGTAGAAATATCAGGAGAAGAGGCAGCCTGTAACATGGGACTACTCTGGGCACGAGTCCTCCGCAAAGAATAGCCCCCTGTCCTGACTGAGCTGCAGGCACCCTTTGGCGTCAACTAGTCTTGCCCTCTGCCGATCAGCTCTCCTAAGGATCCACATATCCTAACCTCCCACTTAACCTCAGCCCAGCCATCCAAGCTGGCTGCAAACACATGGGTGGCTTTTATATATAGAAACCAAGCAGTGTGCTAATAACTACCTAGATAAGGAATAAATGATTCGCAACCAGCACTAGAAAAATGACTCCCCAAACCCCGCCGCCAGAAGCTTAAAAAATTGTATACTGTGGTGTACGTGACGTCGGTCTGCCTACACACATGATTTCAAACGTTCCCTGAATTAGCAGGGACACTTCATATCGCATTCAGCTACGGGGGGCAGCTGGCTTCCAGGGTATTACATTAATGATGATTCAAAGAGTTCAGAATCAAGCTGCAAGGAATAAAAATAGCAGGCTGCTACTTAGAACAATTCATTACAAAACAGGTCTTCCTCCAGCCTCAGTCTGCTGCTCATTTTCTCCTTGGGAGTTTTTCCACTGCTTCTGGGAAGCTTTCTCCCAGGTACAGAGTGGGTTGTAGTTCCAAGCAGCAGGCAGTGCTGCCTGTCCTGGGATGCTGAGAAGAACTTAGGTCAACTTCTCCTGAGGGAACCCAGCTTGGGGTTAATGTCACCTAGGCTTTCCCACAAGATGTGTGACAGCATTATCAGGAGGACTAGCTGTTTCCCCCTCACTCCCCATACAGCAAGGGAGAATAGAGAGAGGACCTGCCAGTGAGTGATTTGCCCCATCTACCTGAGATACCTCCATAGGAGATGGGCAAATTGCTTTATGAAGGCCAGTCCATCTCCATTGCCTGAAGGTTGCCAAAGGGCTAGGCCGGTCTGCCTATACACCTAGCTTCCAGGCAGCTAAAGATAGATGAAACAGGTCCCAGAGCAGCTACATTGGTGTATGAGCTCAAGAAAGCACGCAGCACTGACTTCTCAAAGCTGCCAGGTCCCATGTCACTGCTGGAGGGACCTACTTACACCTCACTTAAGATGTGATTTAAGTCTTTTAAATAAGGAATCTTCATACCACTCCAATAGCCTCATGGTAGTTGGAAAGTGCCGCAGTGGCCCTGTGAGCATCAGTGCAGACCTATGGTCATGAAGGCTCCCTGCCTGCCCTTCAGTCAAATGGACATCTCTGCTAGGACTGCCACTTGATACCGGTGGTGATGGGGAGGGATTGGGTCTGGGCTGGGATCAACCAGGAAGCACAGAATAATTTTTCTTCCTTATATGATCTAGATACTTTAGATACTTTTTTTTTTTGGTATCAACGCAACCATTTTCTGTGAAAATCAGTGGCTGCAATATGACAAAGGCTTTTGACATCAGGTATTGAATAAGCTGGAGGAGCAGATGAACTCTTGAGAGAGAGAGAGAGAGAGAGAGAGAGAGAGAGAGAGAGAGAAAACTTATTTTCATGCAAGTATCCCTGTTAATTTAACCAACTCCAAGGGAACAAACTCCCAGAAACTATAAAACTTATTTGATTGTCCCTAAATAGAAGTTTCATCAAAGTTCTCCAGGATCTGGAGAGATGGGTCTGCTCTGAAGAAGGAAATGCAAGAAATTAAGTAGGTCAAGTGACAAATGAAATACAAAGGAAAAGATAAGAAAGGAAGAGTTTTCAGGAAGAAAGCAGGAGGGCTGATGAGCTGGAGTGGAAGGACCAGGGAAATGAGTGAAGGTCACTGAATTTTGAAACATAGGTATAGTCTCTTCTCTCTTACAATGCATTCCAGCCACACGTTGGTGACAATATGGTGCATGTTCCAGCTTGTCTGGAAGCAACTCATGAGACTGTTTGGGAGCAAGACTGATTTCTTTTGGTTAGTGTTGTTCAAGAAGCCTTGCCGGCTGAGCATATTAGCAAAACCCTCCATGGAGCAGGCGGAAGACGAAAAGCACTTAACATGAGCCTGTCCTCTACCCTACAGAGAATACTGCAATTCTCAGGGATGGAGGTTTTCCATATGTACACTGAAAAATTTATTAACACAAAAGAACACAAGGTGCTTTATGTGGCCTCCTATACTACCACTCTACCTCCAAATGCCAGCCAGATCCTCCTTTCTCACTGCTACCAAAGTCAGAAGCAGCCCCAGGACCAGTGATCCTGGGGACTAAAGCAGATGAGAGGGAGGTGGGCATAGCTGGGAGGACAAGGACATGCTTCTTGCCCTAAATGTTTTTGACACAACAGCAACAGGATGCTCCGAATGGTGGTGGCCATTGCTGTTGAGCCACCAGATCTCTCCAGCTTTGCAAAGATGTTGCATGGTGTTAAGGCAGATGATCCTGTTGCCTGAACCTACAGCTGAAGCTAGGTGGGATCCTGCCTGTATTTGGGATGCAGGACTGAGACAGTCTTGCAGTGTATTTGCTCAGTGCCTGAGACAAAGCATCTCATGTTGCCTGAGGGTCCTGGGGCAAGTGGAAGCAGGTGGAGAAGAATCGACAGGTCCCTCCACCATTCTTCCCAGAGAAGAGAGTGAAACTCACCTGCAGCCTCCTGCATGCTCAAAGCTGCAGGAACACTTCCTTTGTCTCAAACTAGGTCAATGTGGAGGCGTGATGTTACTATAGCAATCGATATTAGATTTCATAACTTTATTTTAGCAATGGGCGTGCTGCAGAATTCACTACTAGATGGAGGGAGGGTTGTCACTGAAATACCCTCCTCAGCTCCCATTCCCCCGGTTTCCCTCTCCTTCCCTCTCCCTCTCCCTCCCTCTCTGCCATCCCTCATACTACATGCACACAGCTGGCTCCTTCCCCCCCCCCTCCCCCCGCCTTTTCCCTTTAGCTGTTTTTGAAGAGCCCCAAATTCAGCCCTGGGCCATACTGTACCTCTGACAGCTTGCTGGGTTTAGAGCTAGGCCAGATTCAGCATCCTCTGCACCTTGTGTCTCTCTGGGCTCCAGAGCTGTCCCTCATGAAGACCTGCCAGGCAAAGAGAAAGGGGAAAACATCATCAGGTCACAGACCACTGTAGCGTCTTCCTGCCAAACATCCCAGGCCAAAATTTTGATGGCATAAAGTCACTGAAGTCTGATTTACAACCAGGTTGTCTACATTAAGGTCTAGCAAATGCACAGGGGAAATGCTGGAAAGCATCCCTGGTAAGGAGGCAGAAGTGGGAAGTGGGTTCCATGTCCCTTTGTCTTGCATGTGGATTAAAAGAATGGAGTGGAAATCAGCTAGGTGAGGAGGAGAATATGCAAAATGCCAGGGCTCCCTGCTTAGGGGCACAGGGCTGGGGTGAGCCCCTTTGCAGGAAAGTGCTCTTTGGCTTTCTTTCCCTTGCTTCTGTGTCGTGAAATAATCCCACAAGGAACCTCCCTTGCTGCTAGTGGTTGTATCTTTGTTTCTTATCTGTGCTAACAGTTTACTGTCCTGAGCAGAAATGATTGTGTAGCCCTCTACCTTTTCTTCTGGGTTGACCACTTCACTGTGCATCCTGGGAGAACAGAGTTTTGTAAGGCAGGAAGGACAATCTTGGGGATAAAGCACTTCTCAGGAGTGGCAGATTGACAGCCAGTTACCTTTGGTGTGTTTCAGCTATGCAGCTGGCAAAATCTGCATCTTACTTTCACCCACCAATGCTCCTTATTAAACTTTTGCTTTAATGGCCCACACTGTAAATCTCTTCTGGCTGGTTACTAGGTGCTACTGTATTGCAACAAAAATGTTGTGGTGCTTTCCTCATTGTCATTCACCATTAACTACACTGCAACCAGCTGAAAAAAACACTCCCTGTACAAAAGCAAAGTAAATAAATATGGGAAAAATACCAATCTTTCTTAATGTCCTCTAACACCTGTGCATCACAACAGAGAAAGCAGCCTAGGTTTTCTTATCAGTGAGATTAAATATTATTTGAGGTTTACGTTAATTAATTTCCAAGGTAGGCTTGTGTGTGCGTGTGTTTTCTCTTCTGTATCCAGAAGATGCAGGAGCCAGGCTGGGACAATCTGGGGCAGTCTTTCACCACTGAGAAGCAAGTAGTAACAAAATCATAGTAACATGGAGAGCTCGGCCCTTTCTGTGATGGTATTTCTCTTGCTTCCTAGCTGGATATATGACAGGCCATTTGGGTCTTAAGGAGACCTTCCCATAGCTGAAAGGGGTTTACACAGTAGTGTAGTTTACACAGTTCAAGATGCTTGGTGGAAGGATGGAACAAGGATACAAGCCTCAACAATTTTTCTAGGAAAGCTGGATCTGAGTGGTGTAGTTTGACTCCATCTCTGATCAAGGGGAGGAAGACCAAACCAGTGCCATAGTGGCAGTAAGAAGACAGGAACTCTGTCCCCAGAAAGGAGAGCTAGGTACCTCAGCGCATGTGAGATCCTACTCTCTCACAGATGCACCTGTCACCCCCCAAGCAGGAGGTGTTTTCTCCCCAGGATAACTCATTCTTGGGGGCTTTACAGACATCCCAGGTGCAATGTGTGCTTAGGTTACCCTAGAGGGACCACATTTCCTTCCAAACATGCTCAACATTCCTCCTTACAGCCTGTACCAAGGAGGGAAAAGCTAGCTAGACAGACACAGCTCTGGGGCAGCAGCGCCATCCCCAGAGAGCTTTCATCATCATTTCAGTTGCTGTGAGTGACCAGCTGATGGGATGACCATGGTTGCAAGGTTTTACAAAAGGAGTATAAAATATCAACTCATGATTGCTGCTCCTCTGAGTCTTGCTCTGGAAGGAGACAGTGGACACAACCTGCTATTCTGTAGCCCATGTGGTTCTGATGGCCTTGAAACATAACCTGGAGAGGTCCTTCAAGAGGAACTGATATGGCCTCATGGCTGGCCTTCTTGATCCTTGGTATTTCCACTTCAGAGATGACTGCAGCTAAGTGACAGAAGGAGGCATTTCTGTTTACACAAAAGGGAGCCCATTGTCTTTTTGGATTGCTAGATGAAGTTCTGGGGATGAGTGTTTCAATCATGTTTGCAGAGTGGAAAGCACAGCCTTCTCACATAGCAGCACAATGCAAAGGGATGGATGGGCTTTCACTTCCAGGCAGCCATTCTGGGGCCACACTATTGTGGCCACAGCCTGAGCAGAGCAAGACATGGAGAGTACTCATAGTAGTTCCTGGGAAGGTGCAAAGAATGCTGGGATTTACTGAGCCAGTGAAAATACCATGAAATGTTAAAGGCTCAAAGAGCAGCTTTTCAGCCAGGGTCTGTGTGAAAAAGGGAGGTCCCTCCCTGGCTCCCTTCCCTCACCTCCTGCTGTAAGGATATTTTGCTTCTCTTCCAAACTTCAAAAGAGCCTCAGCAAACTTCCCGTCTCTGCTTCTTGTTAAACCTGAGACGAAATGAAGTCCTAGTTGTCAGAGAACTAGCAAAGTGACCTGCCTGTGCATCTGTATTCCCCAGTCAGCCCCATGCTGGATACAGTTGTACTGCAAAGAAATGAAAGGAAGCATCTGAATGAACTTATCTAGAGCCTCTGGCTTGTGAGAAAAGGCTGTGAGCCTGTGAGGGAAGGTCCTATGAGCTCAATACCATAGGAATGGAGGAGAATAGCAGCTCTAACACATATGCTGTCGGAAATGAGTGAAGATCACAGCCAAGCTTCCATTTATGGCAAAGGCTATTGGAAATGCAGTGTTCCCTTCTCCCTGCTACCATCTGTAACTCAAGTTCTCTCTAATACTTAGATTTATAGACTGTAAGTTCAGGTATAATCATTATAAACGTCTGGGCTGCTCTCCTTCATACACCAGGCCATAGCATCTCACTGTACAATTCCAGCAACAGAAATAGTGAAAATAAATATATGTGTGTTCTTGTACCTCTAATCCCATAACCATTTCTCTGGATAAAACAAATAGATTGAGCTGCTTCATGTCTCCAAGCAAGGATTAAATTTTGTATGAAGGATGCTTGGGGCCTGATTTGAGAGCTGTCACTGCCTCAGATTCAAGAAAGGAAAAAATGAGACTGTGGAGAGAATGGAGAGCACAGATGAGATACAGCTGTTCATAACAGGAGAGATTTGTAGCCAATATTAAGAAAGAAGCATGAATGGAAATGTTTGTGTGTGGAAACACCAGAGGAAACAATAGAGCAAGGGTTGAAAGAGCTGTGAATACTGTTAACCAAGGATGTGATGGGCAGCAATCAGCCTGGTATTCAGTGAGAGATGTGTTCCTTGCCCAGAAGACCTGCACTCTGCTAAGGACCCAGCACAGATAACTTTTCAGCAGAAGAACTGTAGTTGGGTCATGACTGAACAAGGAAACAAGGTTACATGGCATTGCACCTGTTATTCCTCTTCCTGCTTTCCCAACAGGAAGATACCCAGAACAAGAGCAAAAAGACAATGTGCACTAACCTTGCCTCGGACTTATGGAAGTTGAAGTAAGCAAGATATTGAGGCAAAAGGTCCTCCCACAGTAACGGCTGACTCCTAAAGGGCATAGAAAACCTATCCAAAAGCAAGTACATCATGGTCAGTCAGGAGAATCTCCAGAAACATAGAGAGCCCTCAATAGCAGTGTTTCTTTTCTTATTTTTTGCATACGACTCATCCTGGCCAGGCCACTCGGACACGTGTCTTGGAGTTTGTGATTATATGAGTGAGAAAAACCTAGGAGAGAATGTGCTTGAGTGACTGAAATCTATTTCACTTGAAAGAACATCACCCTCCCCTCTGGTGCAGCCCTTCATTTAATTTAGTTTCATTAATTTACCAATTAACCACCCAAGGCAGACAACTAGGGTCTGCTCTGCCTTACTAGGGATAAGCATGGGAAGGGCGGTAGCACCAGAGAGAAGAGGAGGCAGAAGAATGCCCTATGTATAGAAGTTACCAGGTTCTTAGTGTGGAAACAGGAGCTCTGAGGTTCCCAGTGGAGGTCTGAGAGAGAGCAGAATAGAGCACAACCGAGGAATTCTATTCAGTTCATGCCCATAATCAAGCCCACAAGGGCACCTGTCAAGGAAGAGGGATGCTTTTACTGAGGGTTTCTACTAATCAGGGAGGTGGCGTGTTCCCTCTCTGGAGCACAGACACTCTATGTGTCCGCAAGACTGGGTAACCTGCAGTTGGCAGGGAAGGATTCCCTCAGTGACTGGCACATCCACGCTAACAATGCACCTCACAGGAAACAGCTCCTGGGACACAACAGGGAATGCAAAAGGGCACTGATGGGGCAGGCCATGCTGGGGAATCTTCTTTCCTCTGCAGGAAGAAAGCTCCTGCAGTGGTGCCTGGCAGGCAGTGCGAGGGTGTGAGCTGGCAGAACCTGACAGGATGCAGCAGTCCAGAAGGAGATGCTGTTCATGGGGAAAGGCCTCCCTCTGAGGGGATGGGGAGCAAGGGGGGGGTGCAGGACAGATGCAGTACCCAAAAGGATATGAAACAATGGAAGAGAAGGGCAAGTAGGGAGAATTTAGGAGTCTTCATTTAATGTGACATCAAGATGTTGAGAATAAGATTGTTCCAAACAGCAAGGGACTTGAAGAGAAAAAAAATCTTTAATTGTCTTCACACCAGCACTAAGGAGCCTGGATAATAAACCCTGCTCACATACGGACATGAACTCGACCTAGTTGTGCTCCTAAAATCTTGCTAGGAGAGTCGCATGATCGGATTGTTAAAATCAGTAAATGTTAAAATGAACACCTTTACGGAGGAATGAGGGCACAAAAATGGACATTGAATGTCATGGCATTGGTAAAGGGCGAGGCCTGGTTTTTGAGTCACATCCACCTCTAAAGCACATGATCATAAATGCTTATAGATCTGGGTGCTAGCAGAGAAAGCATAAGACAGAGAATATAGGGGGCCTTCAGTGACCTGCCAAGCTCATCCTGGTGACCCTGCTAGCCTGCTCTGTATGCATTTTTGTGATGGGCATGAAAAAGTGCCTGCCTTATTATGAGGAACTTGACTGGAGTGATTTGCACTGAGAGCTATA